CCAAAAAAAATACAAAAGGTACAGATTTCAGCAATGGGTTCGGAAGGTTTCACCAGGGAGGAGCAAAGGACATGTTTACCAAGTTCCGTTCACCGAGTAAAGCTTAGGAACGAATTTAGTTCATAATTGAATGTGCCACTGTAATCTTTTGCTTGGGGTGGCTTCCAGGTCGAAAATTGCAGTCAGGTCTGCTGCGTCTGCATCATAAACTCAATCCCCCTTCCCCTTTGTGTGTGTGTGTTTGTGTGTGTGTGTGGTTATGCAGGTGTATAATTGCAGGATTGGAGCCAGCCAGCAGGTCCGTCTCATCCCCCAAATTAGCAGCTAGCTGTTCTCGGACACCAGCACACTGACAGATTGTCAACATTTTTTGTTCAACCTGCCTCCTGCTTCATTCCTGGTCATTTGCACTTCTGCCTCAGATCCTGTTCCAGGGCCGCCTGGTCCTTGCGTCCAAATTTCGCTGACCTGCTTGCTGCGAGGAGACTTTCTCTTACAGGCACAGCCATTTTCATCACGAAACAAATAAAAAAAGAATTCCGTCTCATGTCCTTCTGCTTGATATTTCGGATCTGGTGAAATGATCACCATTGGCCGCTCTCCGGCTAAGTTCCTGCCACTGTCATACCAATCTTGTCCAACGCACTCAAAATACACGCAGGAACAAATTTACAACAAAAGCAACGCTTAGAATTACGAAGGATGAAGAGATTGTTGTCATGATGCTTCTTAGATAAGATTTGGATGAATGAGCCGTCGATTGCCGTTTGCAAAACAGCGTCGGCCGTCGGTGGCCATTGATCACTCTGATTAGCTGTTTGCAATCAGTGCCTGAGATAGAAGTACCGCGTTTTCCACACTAAAAGGCGCACTGGATTATGAGGCACACCTTCAATGAATGGCCTATTTTGTCATTTTTTTCATACATTGGGCGCACCGCATTATAAGACGCAATCTACAATGCATCCACTAGATGGAGCTATGCTCAAGGAAATGCAAACAGAACGATCAGATGTCAGTAAAACGTATTTAATGAAGCAGCAACACAGTTCACTTAACCAACAGCAAGTCAAAACATTGACTCGTTAACGTTGAACTCTCTTGCCGCTGCTCTATTTCCGTGTTCAACTGCGAAACCGATCGCCTTCAGTTTGAACTCTGCGTTGTCACATGTCTCTAGCAAGGAGCCATTTTGGGGTCGAAATATTACCGTAATGGCCATGCACAAGTCGCATCGGCTTTTAAGGCGCGCTGTGAGCTTTTAAGAAAATGGAAGGCTTTTAGGTGCACCTTTTAGTGCGGAAAATATGGTAGACTAAGAGACAGTAAACAAAAAAACGACAGCAAAAAAAGACTTTATCCAAGAAATCAAGCTCGGAAAAATTTTGCTTTTTACATGTTCCCGCTTATACTGTATTTTGAGTGTGCTGGGTGAGGTTCTGCATATGTGTGGCTTTTATTTCATGAAAACCCTGACTGTGGATGATATGATAAACAATGACTTCTCAGCCATGTCAGCTGTGCAGTCAAGGTACACATCACAGTTTTGGAGTTGTGAGGTTAGATTGATGTGTGAGGGTTAAAAAAAAAAGAAAAATTGCAAGTCGCATCTTCGTGGACTTGTGCGTACCTCTCAATGGTCCATGCAGTCAGGTTGTGCGGGATGCCCGCCGTATTGGTGATCCAGTCGCCATCCGGCAGCTCTTTGATTTGCACGGTCAAGTACCTCACTGGGGAGGAGCCTGAGCTACCAGTCACCCAGTGAAGGCGGAGCCGACGCGCTTCCACGCCATCTTGAGGAACTGACAACTTCCTGGGCGGCTGGGGACGCTCTGCATATACGAAGAAGGAATTAGATAGGGAAGCATAAGAGAGAAATTCTGATGATCCATTTTCTTCTTATGTGTCCCGATGTTCCTTTTATCAGATACGCACGAGAGCGTTTGCATCCAATTTTATGCGATCGCTTTTTCACTTACGCACGTGAGTGAAAATGAATCGGGGAAACAGTCAAGTCTCATTTCATTCCTTCTAATCATCCAATGATGTTTGCATTGTGTGGAAATGTTGTTTTCTTGGCTTCCCAATGTTAAATGCATCATGATACTCATCATTTGAGAGTATGCAGGAGGCGGGTATGGATAACGATGTGAAATTTGGTGCTGAGTTCCACTTTCCTGGGACTACTCATTGTAGTTTCTTATGAAAGTATAACCGGGGGGGGGGCAGGGGGGGGCG